AAATAATTATATATAGTTATAGTCTAGTTTGCATTAATTATATAATCAACTGCTTCTGAACGGGAGTGTCAATTTTTAGAATGATATATTATTTTGGCCTTGATAATAATGGCTATGAAAATAAACATGAGTTGGAAAGTAATTTCATTCATCAGTTATACTTTATTAAATTTGTCTGGTACTTTCTTTAATTGTCTAGCCAAACAAAGCCACTTTGATATAAAAATGAATTAATTAATTGACTTTGGCAAACGTGTAATCAAGAGGTTAATATTTCGTAGGAAAAATATCTCGAAGGAAATACCACAAATATGTGCAGTCAGACACACTACACTGGTAAATTTACAGTTTTATGATAACTATAATAATAACCTACATTACGAGCATTTAATTTACACTCTGAAACTCAATCAATAACATTAGGAATAATGCAATTCCGCATGATTCGATTGTAAAATATGATAGATAATACATGATTGGAAATAAATAGCCAAAAATATGCATTTTATTTACTTCTGAATTGAATAATTATTAATAACCCTATTACTCTTCTGCTCCATTCGAAATTAATTTGTTTTGCGTTAAGGAGGAATAGTCTTGAAACATATATGATGAGAAGCATCATATCGGAAAATAACTGTAGTATAAGAATTATTTGTTAATATATAATTGAATATTATACAACAGAATATTTAAATCGATATATATATACAATGTAAAAATAATAGCTAGTTGTAGGTAGGTAGCATTTAGAGCATATTAGACGAAAGGTAGAAAATATTTGCAAAATTAGTATAAAAATGTTTTGATTTGCAATACTACTCACTATAGAGGCTCAATTAAGAAGTAGTATAGACAAATCTAAAACATTCTTATTTATTGAAGCTAATAAATTGCAAATGGCAAAGTTGTTCGCCTACGCCAACTAGTCGTAACAGCACCCTGTTAGCTAATATTATACGACAAAAATATGTATTTTGATACACTCAATTTTATATGGTTTTTTCTTATATTCTATAGCTTACCATTTTTGAAGCTTATAGACGGAGCCCTGGACGGTTCCGACTCAATACTTAAAGCACAATTTGCTTAAAACCAATTTTACTGCTCAGGTGGAATTTATTGCTTTTGATATACAGTATTAAAGGTGCATTATTGCAAGAACTATCTAAGGCTTTGACGGTAATATAAAACGGCAACGAACAACTTGCAGCAGCAAGAAATATGTGAATACAGAGCTTTTTGAAAGCTTTGAAACAATTTCCATTCTTTCATCATTAGGTCAAACTTTTCTCAGAATAATTTTATTATATAGGGCGGCCCAAGCGTGATATGTCCATGTTGAGAACTGCAGTGAAAATCACTCTAAATTGCAGGTTCTGTTAGAGTTTCGCTTTTAAATTGAAACTTTCTGAAATAGGTAACTTGCATTGAACATGTTATTAAAAAATGGTAATCAATGCTTAGGGTTTGAGTACATTATTAAAGTTTTTTCAGATTCAGTGGAACTGTATATAGAACGTTTATTCCCTTCTCCAAATCACTAACGGCCGTATTCATGATTTGATTTAATCCTATTGATGCCTATTTACTTCTACGGAAATCATTCCGACATATATCACATTATCTAAGTTTAGGCTATAACATCGTAATTCGCAACTAAATTGCTAATAATACTAATCATGTTAGGTTTAGTAAAATAACCTCAATAAGTGTCGTTTATGTTGGAAAGTAAACACGTAACGGTTACAAAATGAGGCCATAAAAGACACAACCTGAACGGATTTATTTAAAATCTGCTACTTTTTGTAAAAGCTTCAAAAATATCGCCCAGCTATTTATAATCAATTTACAATAAACCAATTCTCCTAACGATTTTAATTAATTCGCAAAATCCATTTAAACTGTAAAAATCAAGCATCATCAAGAAAATCTGCTAAACAAAATATTAATCTGCGTTATTGATTATGCAGAACCAGTCCCTTTTCTCTCACCAATTCAACTAAGTTTGCTTTATTCCCAGTTTGTCGAAGTGACCCGGAAAAATAATGTAAATACAAAGTTTAAATTCTTGTTCCTAAAAATGTTTACAAATCTATTTATTTAGTCTGAGGTCTATTAAAACGGTAAGATAAGTAATCATTCTATTTGAAGGATGTTTAAGGTAATCTCGCTTAGATCATTTTCTTTGCTCAACATTCTATATCAATATTTTCTCCAAGTGAGCTGCTTCTTCATTAAATTATTATAACTACTGGTATACTGTCTAATTAAAATGAGTTGAGTATTTAATAGATACAATTTCTACAATGACAAGAACATTAAATCGGTGTTAAAGCAAATAATAAGTGGCTTGCCAAAAAAAAACACTTCACTTACAGCTTCACAAAATTTAAAACCTCACTCCTCTAAAGGCTGGAGCTTGTATGAACGGAATTAATGTTGCTTTGAAAGCAAATGAATGCAATAGCATAGGTAATTTGGAGCGGTTAGAAATTCCTATTCAAACACACGCTCTGAATCTAGCAAATTATCCGATCATCGCTATGCAATTGTAGAATTAATTTTGCCTAAAATGTAATGTCTGACTATGAGAGCGTTTTGTGATAAATGAACAAAAGAAACGGTCAACTTTATTACCTCTTTTAATAAAAAAAAACGAGTAGTTCTTGCATTATCGGCAGCTTTCTTTACTTTTTAAACTCAGCTTGTTGGTTTTTATAACTGGAATACTAAACTATACGGGCTAATTTTGAGTTAAATAATTTAAACGGTAAATTAATGAAGCGAAAACATTTCAAATTTGAACAAAATGATAATTCGTCCAAAAAATGTGCTCTATTCTTCGCGGAAAGTTTTTGCTTCATAATCATCATACCTTATTATTTATCGAGACATTATTCAAGAATTGCGAGATATTAAAAGATGAAGTCATATTTAATAAGGTGAGTTTACAAACTTTTGCTTAACTTAATGAAGGGGCTTACGTAAAATGGTGCATTACAACTCAGCAGAGTATTACACAACCAATAAAATTCTACCAACCTGAAAGAGCACATCTTAAGTCAAATGACTAAATTATTCCGAAAACAAAAAAATGCATCTGTAAGTTTTGATTTTTTAGTTTCCGAAAACAAACCATTGAGAAAATAGAAGCATCAAGTCAGCTTCTCGCTCACTTTTACAAATAAAATAAAAGTTGAAAAATATTTAAACAGTTAATTCATTAAAAAAAATGCTTTGTCCGAAAATCTGACCATCTATGTGAAAGATAAGTCCGACGATATTTATAATTCAACTTTTGTTGGTTTTCGTTTCTATCTATTAAATATGAGTCGTCAACCTGAGAACTTTCGAACTAAATTGCCATTTCTACAATTTTATAGCAACATAAATGAAAAATTCAAAACGAAAAGAAATACTCTTTTAAATAATTGTTTTGATTTCAATATTTTAATCTAGAAAGTTGTAATTTTTTGTTGATTGTATTGCATGGAATATAACATAATAGTATTGACTTCCATTGCTTCTTTGCAGCTTCCATAATTAACTAAACATTTGCCTACCGACCTGATTAGTAAACTAATCATATTTATAATAAATGGTGTTTTTATGTCTCATTGTGTCTCATGTCCGGGAAATCTAATTCCACAACAACCACTTCCGATCTAATCAAAAAATGTTCAACTGTAAAAATCAGCTGTAAAAAGTTATTTTATTTCAACTGCAGTTCTATATATTCTCGAACTGTGTCCCAGACGAACCAACCACATCAACTGTTCTCTTTGATACTGGTAGATTAACTATACATATCCGATCCGATAACGTTTGAAATTTCAGTGCAAATAATTAATGCCAGTGAAAACAATTTGGTTAAGAAGCTACATTTAATTCTAAACATCTCTTTACTAACATGAATGTTGAAATGAAATATTTCGGTAATTATCTTGACGCATTAGATTACAGTAACTATCTTGCTAGCTTTACTCTCAAATCTCTTGCGGTGAAATTCGGTAATGAAACAGAGTATAACAATCCGACTGTTCCACTACGACAGAGAGAATATTCTCGATGAATAAGAACATTGGAATGGTGAAGATGTGCCGCAATCCCCAAAAATAAACAACAATTAATCTGTACAATATAAACTTGCCAGGAACGGTATATTTGTGACAGCCTTAAAACTAATGCATACTTTGAAATGTTGATTAGCGAGCAGCCTTAGGTATTTCTTGCAAGACAATGTCATGTTTAAATATAATTCGTATGTTAAGATTAGGCGCAGTAGTTACGTTTAGTATCCAAATTAGTTGTAAGATCATAAATCTAAGATAAGAATCCTCAAATAAAATGGCTGTAACCCTAAAACCCGACAATTCGTATTTTTCCGCTTTGTCCTCTCGCGTAGGTTAAAAAGAGTGTAGTCAATAATAATTATTACTAATATTAGATATTGACAATTCTGGTAACAAGACCACAGTGCTTTACACACTCATTGTAAAACATTGTAATTAGAGTATGTAAAACGCTTCACATTAGAAAATTGTGCTAATATACAAACAATATATTGTCAGTGTTATATTTTTTATAATTGGTTCTAATGCTATTGAATGTTAGGTGTCTGTTATGTTAAATAAAGTTGTTGTTTGAAACACATTCCTCACCCCGTTGGGGTGACTTTTTTATTCGAATTAACCATTGTTTTTTTTTGTTTTTAGAATGGTTCGATTGGAGGAGATACAGTCGGAAGAGGAAATGGGTGAGTACGATAGAGTTTTACTAATACTTACCTTGTTTTCTGTATAAAATACTTGCACCTACATTTCGCATTTTTGCTAAATGCACAGGCTTAAGTCAAATAGGTAATGTGTGAAGACAACCAATAGCTGCTTTTTTAAGATTTTACTTCTAGGCATATTAATTACTACTTCCACACAACAACGTGTCAAAACACGCAAAAATGTATTAGATTCAATTACTGATTGTCTCGGAAGCCAAATTCTCGGCGTTCTCATAAAATACCGATTCTTGTGAAACCGGCGACGCTCAGTATCAACTATTGGAAGCTTATTTGGTCATACTACAAACGAACCAAAAGCTAGTAACAAAGTGTTATATCAACAATCTATATCACAATGTGCTTATTGTGGAATTCCTACAGTTAGTACCGCACGTATGTCTCGCAAAGTTGCACTACACAACTCTTTCAAAGGTTTATTATTAGCAGCTTAAGTGATACTTTGAGATGTGAAGCATGAGCTGCTTTCATAAGGAAATTTATTTGAGAGTAAAAAACAAGGCATATATATTGAGTATGCAATAGGAGCCTGCTGAACGATGATCCCAATTTTCCAAAAAACATTTACTAGCAACGGACTAATCAAACCAAAAAAAACCTGAACTAACATTAGTCAGACAAAGCTTGTACCAAGAGCTTCAGAAATATGTAGAAGTAAACTGCTATTTAAAATGTTTTCGATTTTATCACAGGCAAAAGTTCTAGGCACGTTGTATGAAAACGATTTTCTCAACTAAACAGCAAATTTCCGGATATGGAATCTTATAAACTTTTGGACTTCATCGGGAAGCAAAGCACGCTCTTTCCGAAAAGTTTTTTTTTGTACGCGTAAAAAGGACACGTATGCCCACACTTTCTTATGCTATCATATCAGTCCGATGTGTGTTCAGTTTAAAACCGGCGTCATTACTTTAAAGGATTTACTTTAAAGGGTCTTACACGATGGTAAAATAGCATCAATATAAAAATGTTTAGGTTCGTCCTCGGGTTTCAACATTGCTTTTTAGCAATATTTTAGAGTATAGACAAATTCCCTGATCAATTAGTCAACAAAGCATTTCAAACAAAAACATCCGAAACATACTTAATCGTAGTCAAAATTCTTAATATTTGAAAACATGCTGAGCCCATAGATGTGTTTAGAAAATTACAAAGGCATCGTGAACGAGATAGAGTTGAAGCTCTTCTGAAGCAGTACTAATAAATTACGGTGAAGACCGTGCTAAATTTTATAAAGGCAGGCACTTGCACCAGGTTTGCTGTCTATACACTTTTCCCCTTAATGCATTATTTTAAAATCAAGCTGTGGTACATACATATGAGATCCCGACATATCTGTAAACTATCAAGGTTCGCTTCGTAAAAACGAAATTATACAAGATTCAGTTCTTTTCAATTCAGTAGACCGACGAGTTTATATTTATGTCAGTCAAATGGTCCATTTTGTTTATAATTCTCTTTTACTTTCATCATCAAAGTCCACCGTCGTCACAGACGTGTTGTGGTTGTGTCCATCCGCGATGCATTGTATACACCTGCACATGTACGACAAATTGTTTGATATCTGTAGTTTTGAAATATGTTAGTCACTTTTACGAGGCAAAAATGGCCGAAATCGTCAAAAGTTTTATGTCAATAGCTATTTCTCTTCCCCGTACTGTGCACAAATATTAAAAATTTTGGAGACTGGGTCTCTTGAAGGGCAACACTAAAATCTATTATTGATTGATATCGGAGACACAGGCATATTTTTTTAAGTTTAGGGGCTCAATACGATTAGAAAATTTACATACATAACAACTGCAAGTTTATAAAAACATTATATTTTTTAATTTAATTCTAAGTAAGTGGATAATGATGCAATCTATCATATTAGACCTATGATAATGTTGCTAAATAGGCTTCTAGTTATACAAAAAGAAGGTCGCGCCTAGTTCTCGTAGCTACTAGCTACATACCGGCTGTCGCTGCTAATTACACCCAAAGTTGGAACACATGGACAGCGTCACGCGGAAGTTACAGAAGAGCATTTCGATGTTTTATCGCCTCGAAGATTCATAGGCCTTCAGGTTCAAATTAAAAACTTACGCCATAAAACAGCACTTTTGGAAACGGCGGGGCTGTTAAATAGAAACCGCTTTTAACTTTTTCAAATTAGAACTTAACGATGTTTTCTCTCCATCTAAAGTATGTTTTCATGTAGTTTATTTGGTTATTTAGTTGAAACTTAATGTAATATTATTTTAATTAAATCACGTTCAGGTAATCCATATTATATGGAGTAAATGTTTAAATCTGTAACTAATAACTAATAATAAACTGTAAGTAGTTTGAATGTTTGCTTGAACATGAACAAGGCATATGGTGAAAACAAATTTATCGTCAATGCATACATAAAAGAATAGTATTTCGAACATTTGCCTTTGTACATTTAAATCTTTTAATTCTGCCTCAGTAAATTAATTAATTAATAAACTTTTTTAACTTTCATATTTAAATGCAAGTTTGTCATCTTTAAGTTGTTTTAGTGATAAAAGAAAGGTAAATAAGGTCTTCTTAAGGCGGAAAATTTCGAAATTTTGACATTCGTGATTTTTGACTAATTTTTGTTCATACTATCTAATCCCGCCTGTTCGGACTTTAATTTAGGGAACTCTGAGTAGTTAAACTCTGTATCCAATTTCCATCTTTTTTGTCGAATTCTAGTTTAGTATTTGATTACTGAATGAGAATTATTGTCGTTCGCGTTTGATGAATGAACATCCATACAGGGTTGTATAAGTAGTAAAATGTTTAATAAATTTTGATAAGATATTGATGTTTGACATCCTGAATTTTCAATCAGGAAAAAAATACTCACAAATTTTTGCAAATTTTATTTGGAACCACAACACAATTGGCAGTAACATGTGCAAAGCAGCATATAATTTACGCCGGCTAAAAACATGTAAATCTTGGACATTAATTAACGGCCAAATTCAACTCCGTATAAAATTAGTTACTGCACCTCTGAGCCTCGGCCTCTCCTGTTTAGGCAAACTGATGCAGACATAACACACACACATTTCGGTACAACAGACTAGACGTGCATTAGACCTACGAGCTATTAGAAGTATTTTTCATACCAAAGCAGACATTTTTTGAATTAAAGAAAAGCTGAAATCATGCTTTAGAATAGAACTTTTTAACAAAACTGACATTTCAATTTGCATAACTGATGAACTTTATAATTAGATGTATTTTAATGAAAAATATTTCCTTGGCAGTGATATTAGTACAAATCAAGGATAAATCTTTCAAATCGATTAGGCCAAAGAGAAAATAGCATTTTTGTATGTTTAGGTGATCGTCTAATGGTTCACGAGATTAAACCGAAAATATTAAAAATACAGGAAAAGCTTTCGACTCTATTTCTACTTCGATGGTGTCAGCTAGTTCTGGTTGTTACTTGCGGTTAATGTATGGTTCGTCCAGGTTATGATGAGATTACATAGATTGTGAGAAAATGTATTTCCAAAATATTGCCTTGGATCGCTGGTCAATACTAATACGAGTCACTGGTACAATTATTGTACATAATTATGTTGAGGCTTTCAAACGTTTCTAACTGGTTTTGGTTTGCTCCTCTCGAATCGATTTTTTTCATAATAACATATTGTTTATCACTAGTAGGTGTTTCTCTTCGGAGTGGCTTTATTGTTTGATGTCCTCTTAGTCACTAACATTACTGTTTTCTTCGTCACACCACTTATTACAAAGTTATGCAGACCCTAGAAGTATTCATAACGACTTAAACCACTTTTATAACACACATGATGGATGATATTGAGTGTCACAGGTTCCTTTTAACTCGTTATAAAAATTAATACTTGTATGTGTCATAAGAAGAAAACTAAGTAATTCAGCTATTCATTCATTTATTTAATTCGGCCAGTATATAAATGTAAGAACGGGCACCAACATTGACCAACGCTTAAAAATTACTCAATAGTTGATAAACTAAAGTCATTATTCGGATTTTATAATTACATCTAATCCATGGAATTTTATGATCCAAAGGAAACTGTCTTACGAGAAAGTGTTTGCACGTTTTCGACCCAGAACTTTTTTAATATAGGAAAACAAATCATTATAATATCCGAACTGAATTGCTAAATGTTGAACTCGGCTGTCGGATAGTAAATTCCGGGGAGTTTCGCAAAACCAACAATGGCTGGGCGATATTTCCAATGCAAATGCCTTGTTCTGCTGCTTTCTCCGCTTAGTATTCACTTTGCGACATCGTAAAAGCCCTAGAATAATCTTGCTGCACTCTTGATTAATTTGAAATTTCCTTTCAATCTACGTACATTAAATACCTAAAGACCAGTACCCAAATAAATGGTCATTAGGAACAATATTATAAAACATACCGATAATATAAATTAAATAAAATATCTAATTATAGCAGGTGATACTTACAGAATTGTATTTATTTTTTCGCTTTTTGATTTCATGTCTAAATCAACAGTAGATAGTCCAGTTAGACAACATGGAACATGGAACCTACCACAAATAATGTTTATAGATACGTCTTTTTAAATAGAACATTTTTGTATACATGTCATTAAGCGGTTTTTATGTTTTCATCTCGAAATTCTACATCAAAAGTAATAGCTTATTAATAAAAATATTTTTATCAATGGCCAAAGGACGTATAATGTCGATCATAATTTGTATTTCCTGCGGAAGTTCATGAATCAATGTAATAATAGATTTTATATCAAATACCTATAGAAGAAATACTGGCAACAACAAAACATTTAAACAGATAAATATGAAGAATTGCATAAGAATGATGAAATCAAAATAAATTCGCTACAGGTGTTCTGAATGAGTTTCAGACAATTTTGCATTGATCGACACTCTGTAATTGTCACACAGCAAATAACGGCTAACTGATTACGGTTTTCTAGTTATTAGTAATTTTTTTAATAAGTACAATTCTTGCGCAGTTATATAATTGGCAATTAAAAACATATTTAAAACAAAGTGAATGCTGATAATGAAGCTGTCGCGTAACATCCAATTCGAAGTCTTTCATCCCTTATTTAAGTTTTCTTTTTCATGTCAGAAAATCCATCTCTAAACTTCCGACTAAATTTTCTACTCTGCTTGAGAGTGGTTTTAAAAGTGGTTTAATTAGCCTACATTTACAAAGTAATTAATCTGCTGCGACTCAGATAATATACTGTCTTTGCTAAATTAACTCTGCAGCGAGTTACGCAGGGTGAATTTTTTGAGGTGAGAAGCATATCACAAATTTTAATTCTCAATGTAATTAAAAGTGTTTTATTGTATTTTTTAACATAAAGAATGCCACTAATTTTACGGTATAAAAAATATTTCAGAACGCATCTTTAATATCAATGGTTCTACAAACAAAGACTGTTATGAGCATTTCTGAACTGTTAAAATTGCCGGATATGTTCAGAGAAATACTGAACTAAATTAGCAGCGTTGACTATTCGTGCTAAAACTTCTTCAAAGGTTTTAAGTAACTCGGTGTTGCATTGATTACATTTATATTTAAGTTTGAATATAGGAAATATTTAAAATCTGTATTGAGAATCACGCATTTGACAGGACCGTAGTTAGCTTTTTAAAAAACACGTAAAAGTATATTTTTGAAATTAATCTGCTCATAACATAAAATACAACAATTAATGTTGACAAATGTGTAAAATAAAGTTAGGACTAACAGGAGATTAAAAGACAATAATCAAATGTGTATACAAAAAGGCCCTGCTAGAGAATAGAAGCTTAAGCTCGGGTTCACTTGAGCACAACCTGAACCTGAACTCGGACTGAACATACCAATAGGGCGATGTGCGACTGAAACAGTATTTAATTTAGGAATTGTTCTAATTTACCATTGCTGCGTTTAGTTATAAACCAGAAACTACCGATCAGCTCTTTATTTTTGAAAATTTCTTTCAATCGGAAATTGGATTGAGAACTTCTTAAAACAGAACTGCAGAACTATTCTTTTAAAATGTATCTTTTTCTTGTCGTTCATTTAACTCGCTATATATTTTCTGAAATCGCTCAGTTTTATCCGTTTGCACATCCGTTGCAAGAATATGCCACTGCCATCAACTACTTTATTACAAATTCTATGCAACTGGTCGATATGCCAATTTCCAGTCGAATTATTTATGCATTTCATACCAAAATCATTTGTATTTAAACATACTGAAACAACTGAAACAATATCTGAAAAATAGAGATCAAAACTCCATAGAACCAATGGGGTATTTTTTTTGTATCGCTTAGTGTGAAGAATAGCGATATTTTATCCATTTGAGAATAGTTCAAGTATGTGTTACAATAATCTAATAACAACCAAAGTAAACGTATTAATGAATAAAAAAATTACATTTTATTAAATCTGATCGGGAGGACCAACTAGCAACTTTATCTTAATCTAAATGTCCTAAAATGAATCTGAGTGATCTGAAATTAAGTAACTATAAAATCGGTTTAATGGTTTAAGTAAGTATTTTCTATTGTTACAGCGGGCCAGGTGACAACACTTTCTACAGTAACATCGACATCAAGCCAGATATCAGGCCGATTAGGATTGGAAAGCCCAACCTCCTGGTTTCCGATTTAGTGAGTATAGTTTTCCATATTCAAATAAAACTAAAAGCCAACTTTTTAATGTTCTGCGAAATCCTGGGAGTTATTTAGGCTATAGAGACATTCAACCGAAGCGGCTTAAGCAAATAAAAAAGCCAAAGCGACTAATCAATTAAATGAAGCTCCAGCACTTCACTACTGTTTTCTTACAACAAGTCATTTCCGAAAATGCAGCAGCTTCATTAGGAAAAGTCTCAAGCTTCCCGGTTCTGATTCAATAAAGATCCTTGATTAGGGACACGTACGTGTTAGTGCAAGTCTCAAATTAACATTGTAGCCTCACAAAGTTTAATTAAATGTCCGCTTTCTCGACTTTTGTTAAGTCTTTAAGGCGATTTAGCCTGGGTCAGATAACAAATAGGAAAGTTTGTCCAAGCCCAATTTATCGGTCTAATTCTTGTTGCTGCGGTGAAGTCTTTTAATTATGAAAGACGAGAGATTGGACGAAGCATTACATTTTTAGATGTGTCGCTACTGAGGAAGTAGCTCTTATAATTATTACGTATCTTTCGATATGTTAAAAGCTCCCAAAACTGAACACAAGCGGTAAAATAAACCGAATTTATTGTTCTACCCAAGTATTTTTACATCTGATAGTAATTATGAAAAACTGATCAAAAAGCTATTTCAGCGAATTTTGTCGAAAATATAATAGGCAGCATGAAGTAATTTTCTCATCAACTCTCTTGCAAATTGAAGTGCTTTATCTAAAGAACAACATAATTTGAAATCGATCATGCAGGTGCAGAGTACAGTGCCGTGCTCTAATAGCTTCGGTACATACAAATTATATCGAATTTTATTTATAAAGAAAAATAAGTATACGTTGAAGCAAAAATTAGTTGCAAGATTTCAAATCGTTCTCATCTTTTCTATTCTACCAATAACTACTAGTAACATAGTTTTCAATGTTGCCACACTTGAACACTTGAGAAAAACCTAACTATTCTTGTTGATAAAAATACTTTAGAAACTTAAAGGACTGAAGCATTTTAATACATATTCAACATAAAATCGACTATCTTTTATTGATCGGTACTTCAAATCATCGCAGTCAAAAAAATTACGTTCAAAGAACAAAATGAGTTTGCATTCTGAAAACTCAGATTTGCTTTTCTTATTGTTTTATGAGTGTGCAGTATATTTATACTTCAGCCAAGTCAAATTTTAGTTTTTACTTGGATTTCAATGTTGCCAGCGAGAGTGGATACTAAATTAGTAAATTTTACCAAAGATTATACATTTTTCATCAGATCGAAACAAACTATCATCTTCACAATTGTGTGCAAATCAATGGTCATGACTGCTACATTTTAATATGCAGCTTGAGCTGAACAAATTTGAGCTTGCCAACACTTGATCTTCCTGATTTTTTTTCAAATTTTGTTTTCAAAATGCGGGCGATTCTGTTTTTTTCATTACCCTGTAATAGTACAACTCATGTGATAGAAAAAATTGGAGTTGCTTATGTAGTTTACACAAAAATCAATTAGTTTCGGGAATCAAGCGCTTTAAGGAGCAAAGTTGATGTCTACTACAGCCTAAATAACTCATGAGTAATAAGGTAAATCGTCACCCATATTTCATTCCCAGCATTCAGAATTCATTATGTGTACATTCATTATCATTCTTCTTTCGGCAAAAATGCTGAAGGTGTTTTCAAAGAAAATATAAATAATTTTTGATGTTTTGCGTAGTCTCTACAAATATTTGTTAGCATTAGATCGGTCAAACATTTATCAATCTATACTTAGTCAAGGGGCCGAAAATTACAATTTCTAAAATGGTAGAATATTTGCTGTTTTAGGATTTGCAGTTTGGAAGGTTTTCATATCTATTTCTCCTCATTCTGTTTAAACTGCTAGAATTTCATTGCCAGTTTAAAAATCTGAAATATTACCATTTGGTTATACTTTTGACACCGAAAATACCCAATCGCTTTGAAACGATACATTTTTCAGCACTTGAAATAGTTGATTAAATTCCAATATTTGTTATCAAAACTGAAACATCTCAAATTATTGGGAATAATTGCCCCTTTCAGCTCTATTTAGACTTTTTACATTCAAGGCTCCGAACAGGTTTGAAGACTGAAATATTTATGCAAAATCAAAATGTTTTTGCGATAATTTGCTGGAATCGGTGAAAAAATTGCCAATTTTCCAGCGATTAATGTAAATATCGAAACCATATTCGAAATAATTAACGGTTTTCAGGCTTTATATGAGAAATAAATTGAATCTAGTTCAAATAAATTCATGTTTAAAGCGAAATGTGCAAATATATAAATTTGCTAATTTTGCGGTTGAGTTGGCAGTAAATAAGTATTTGGCCAGCTGATTGTAATTTTTGCAACTGTGCCAGGATTTCAAGTATTAACAAAATGTGAAACTACATTGCCAAATTATCATTAAATTGTAATTAATTTAGTGAAAATAATTATCACCTTTAGGGTCTAAATTCTATGTATTTGACATAAATCGAAATAAATTGTAACTTTTTCTGTGCCAAAAGTATTGCTGTGTATATGTTTCCCAATCTGTTGCAAACATTGTTAAAATGTTGCTAGTTACGCTACAGCAATAGATCTACACGTGAAGAGTCATTACTTTTACAATGTTAATTTAATAATACTTAATGAACTCCCGAATGCCACTGGCTATAAATGTATAGTGCTCTATTTGGAAAGAATTCACTATTTTATCGCTGAAGTCCAGACTTATATTTTTAGAGACTAAGACGATGTGTATAAATGTTATATGTATCGTTGTGAATTTTATGTACTTTCCTTGCAGTGACGTCGAAATAATTTGGAAAGGGAGCTTAATGAATACTGCCTAAACAAGGTTTTCATTGAAGAAACGAACCATCTTAAATATATTTTAAATTTGAAGAATTAAACAAAATATATAAAATATGTCAACTTTGCTAAAAACTAACTGTTCAATGGCACCCCACTGAGTACTGCATTTTAAGGATGTAAGAAAATGTAAAATCAGATGGTCGGTTCAGGATGTAGAATAGAAAATAGGTGAAACATTAGGATTCAAATCAGCAAAATTTCTGGTAATATCGTGACTTACTTTTATTGATTTATTTCATGAATTATTGAAAATATTCGTCTTTATTCGGATTCAGCGCGATCAATGAATTTGGTAGAAGCGGTACAATAGAATGGCCAGCAGGCTCATTTAAAAGCAGTGCAAGGAAAATGCAAGAACTGAAGAATCGAATTTCACAAGAATCTGACTGATATTTCCTTAATTGTTATTAATGTCATTGAATATTTTCACAGCAAACTGTTATTTTTACTTAACGATTTAAACTATTCACAGAAATATTGAAAAAGGCCAAATCGTTAAAATAATTCGATAATTCTCTAATTTCCTTCATTCACGCGTTTTTCCTTCTAAATCCTGAACCGACCATCATTCGATGGGCGAGTCTTTTTAAATTTTAACGTTTTCGTAGTTGATGGCGTCGGGCTGATTGGATTAAATTAAACATGTTATAAAAGTTGCCCGTTCTTATCCAAGTCGATGTTTTTGTATATTGTAGAAGTCTTCAAATTTAGTTTATATTTAAGATGGTTCATCCTGAAATGGAAGCCCTTTATGCAGTTCTAAAGCAACATGAGATGAACTTTTTGGCAACGGCTTTTCTGTTTACGCGAATGGTTCTATATGTAAATGAATCTCTGTAAGTCTAAGCCATATTTACGTACGATTGTTCTCTGAACGTGTTGCGAAGGTGCTGTTAATATAATTTTCCTAATTCGGTCTTATTCGACAGTCATTGTCGTACCAATTTCCAAATTAAATGAATTACAAGAGACAGTCTGATTTTGAAGAAAAATGGGTTGTTTTATGAAACCCGCTTTTAATTGACAACTTTTATTCTGTGACTCTTTTCAGCTTAACTGAAACCAAAATTAAACTAAATATTCAATCAGAGATTATTTGACTACAGCATCAAATTTAATTTCAAATTTAGCAATGTTGAGTGACAATTTTTCGTTCAGATATTGCTTGTTCTTAACTTTGCAGAGCATTAAGATAAAAAAATTGTTGTAAATTTCCACTGCTCTGGTTTTGAAACAAGAGGACTCCCAATTTTTTGTTCAAAAAAAAATTATTGGAGTCTGTCAAATTTATTGCATTAACGGATCCCATTCCAAAGCTTTTTCGTACGCTACTGTCTTTAAAACAAAACCACTAACTAACGTGTCTGTGTTGTTTGTTCTCTCTATTTGATGGTTTGTGCCCTCGACGCTTCCAAAATCTCCAGGTGCTCAAGGTATTAGGTCGATTGATTTCTACTTCCTTTTCATTTTTGCTTCCATAGATGTAGGCTTGCATGTTTTTCTCTTCTCACATTTCTTTCTATAATACACACTTGATCTTGAAAACCTGTTACGATTTCTCCTTCTGATAACACGTGTGAACTGCTTTAGGTGGAAATAGGGTGTGTTATTTGAGCACCACGATTCGATTAGAACATATATATTTTTCTATAAATTGCCTGCTATCTGAGATTATATTTCTTTCTTTCTTTCATTTGGTAAATACATAATTTTCACTTGATGTGTTATGTCTTATTGCTATCGTGACAGAAATTTAGAAGTATTTTAGCAACGAAAAATATTGCTTCCAAGACAGAAAGGTTCAAAGTCAACTAAAAATAATTAAATGAAAACTGAAGCAAATATTTGCCCAGGAATAGTTCAGGATGATGAAAGTTGTTGCGACGAATAAAACTTATTAATTAGAAGACGAAATTAATTTGGAAATTCGTTTACTTTCTATATTATAGAGAACGGTTATACAAGTTTTCCGCTTTATCATCGAATCACTTTCTAACTTTGCCAGTTGCAATTTTCTAATCATTCAAAGCAAAACTTGTTGATACATAGTTTCACATTTAAAATATTTTGATGGCGTGTTTTATTTTTTGCGCTCGTTTACAAACAATTACAATTTAAGCTTATTAACAAAGCTAAACAATGGACAACACTATATACCCTCTCGGCCAACAGATTTTCAATTATAAGGTTTGGACGACTCAGTTCTGCAAATATTTCAAATCTTTAAAATAGGACTTTCAGGCGTCTTCTATATCGCTTCCATTGAATGAATGGGAAAAACTGGGTCTTACTGTTTTCCCTGTAAATGTTATTTCAGTATCTGTATCGCCGTTCAGGCAAATTTAAGAAAAAAATGAAAAGCCACGAACATATAAACACTTTTCCGCAATTCCATATTTCACTATTGGAATATATTTGACAGTTTGCAAATTTCGAAATGGTAAAGATCCATTTTATTTCAAAATAATTGGCGATATTTTACAGTGAATATCGCCATGTATGACGAAGAAACATAATTATAACTAATAAAAACACCTAGTCCATCTTTTAATAAATCACGATAAACCAATAAGGTATAATATACTATTAATAGAAAATCATATTTTTGCTATACTCGAAAAATTGCAATAATAGATCTCATTATATAAAAACAAAATTTTAATATTTGTCACACATGTTACTAAACATCGGGTAAGATTAACATTTACATTCTACAGTCCCCGAGTGTTTTGCTTGCTGTTTCCATTTTGCTTATCTGCATGCTATTAGCATTTTGTTTTATATGGAATTATAGGGATGCACACTTACACAGTGTTCCAGTCTGGTATTATCGTGAGGCAACACTTAAACACACCATAAACCATTGCTTCAGCTTGATGTTATTTAATAATTATTTCTTTGGATAATCATCATGGATAACATCAGTTTTTAATCCCCATTTCATACATAGTCTCTTTCAGGTTAACCACATTACTGGATGCTTGTCTTTCACAAAACCATTTTGAAATATATTTATATCTTCTAATATAGAAACACGTCAACCAAATCAATGTTTGTTCCAACTACATAAACATCCGAACAGTAGTAGCAGGCATTCAACAAATTGTGCTAACAATTCACATGTCCACAATGCGGTTTAAGCTAAACATGCTTTTACTTATTTAATTAATGGCTAATGCTTTGGGCCTTGATTAAAACCTCCAATCCAATGATAAATAATCAGGGTTTTGAATGCGAATGATATCTGTCCGACGCATTCAAAGCGCTGATTATATTTTGCAAGGCGATTAAAGCTTAATCGAAGCCCAAAGAACCGGGATCTTAAGCTAGTTTAATTTAGTCATGCATTTTAATTAGATTTAATTAATATCTGTAGATAAAGTAATTAGTGCTTTAAAAGATACTACTATAATCGCTTCTGTAATGTTTTACATTTATTTATCAAAGGCCCAAAACAAAGTGATATGTGATTAAACGTATTTTATTAATTTTCTTAGACCATGGCGGCAACTAAGAGGAATGCAGGTTTAACATCAGCAGTCCCCAGAGCAACTTTGAACGATGAGGAACTGGTGAGTTTTATATTTGTATGTGTTTTTACTCAATAGTAAAAATACCACTACTGTATGCCACAGTACCTAAAACAACTCGAAACATCGGCAAGAGTTATTTAAAAAAAACTTTAAGAGCTCTAATTGAGAGCTGAAAACTTGATTCCACTGTGAATTTTTGGGAGCCATGTCTTCTGGAAATTTGTGTTAATCAGTCGTTTACAAGTATTTAATTTTAAATCACTCCTCAATTATATTTTAAGACAGAATTCTTAGTTTTTTAGCCAAAAACACCAAAATGCAGAACCGAAGCAGTCGATTTGATAATCTACAAATATTCTCATATGAAAAATGAGGGTTGGTTTAAGCTAGGCGTGGGGTTTTCTAACATATTCGAGCAAAAATTGCAAATTTAAACGGCTTGCATTTCTAATATACGCTCAGTGCCAAGGAAAGTGGCGTTTCAGATAGTTTGCAAAAGTTCAAACTACTCTAACTGCTATACCAATTAACCATGTTTTTTGCAGTTTACTGCTTGATTTGTTGGCTTTTATTTCAAACGTAGGAAATGCTAATTCGTAATTTTTTCGTAAAATGTAGTCCATGCCGTTTAAACTACATAATTTATGAACATTTACTTCATTCAATAATTCCTCAAACTTAAAATTAGCAAAATTACTAAAGAGTTTTAAGCTGAGAGTTTGGGTAATTGGACGACATTAACGTTGATGATTTCTTCCGATTCAACCTTTTGTCGAAATAGATTAAAATAATTACATTCTAATTCATAATAATGCCCTTCCAAATACTGCCTAGATTACGCGGAAATTTCTTAGAAACTGCTGGTAGAACCATATTAAATATCCTAGAAGCCCCGATTTTAATCCTTTTGGGCATCCATATAAATTAGCATGCAGTATACGGACTCGCGAAATTCACTGCTGTCAGAATTATTATTACTATCGTTGTCAGAAGAATGGGCTAATAAACCACAACAAGCACAATTATTGTCATTATAAGTATGCCACGCAGACTAGAAGCAGCTAGAGCCGTTACAGACGGCTATAAGAGATAAATACTAACTTTGCTATCATTTTTATTGTGGTTTTGTTTTGTCGTATATTAAAAATTTTTGCTGTGTGAAAATAACATTCTTGAAACACCGACGCATTAGTAATTGTGTATGTGTGATTAGTAAGTTTGAAAGTAAAGCAATAATTAAAAAAAAAAACGTTTGTAATTAGATGAAACCTCAAAAAGGTTGACAAAATTTCGGTTTCAAGCAAAACTGTCACAGACAGAAGAGATCATTCAAGAAAATTATATTAACGTAGTTCGATTTAATCTCCATTATCTGTTACAGAAATCGAAGATTCAACGATTGTTACGCATTAAAAAAATATAGTCAAATCAGTTGATTAGTATGAAAGTTAGAAGCTTGAACGTTACCAAAAAATCGGATGCTTCATTCACTTTAATAATTTGAACTGGACTTTTAGAAATCACGGCTTTGCAAAACAGTAAAACAGTGTTTCCAAATCGAAGCGTCAAAAGTTTTATACATTAAACTTATCGTTATCGGTTTTCCTTGATTGTATTTCAATATGTAGTATTAATATTTAATTTTTTTAAATATTTGTTTACAGGATGGTGCAATTTCTCGGGGACACTATTTTTATGTGGCCCATAACAGTTGAACCCAATCTAAATCGAAACAGTTACTTGTTCAGCTCAGTAAAAAGTGCTAAAAATTTAGTTAGCCAACTGTTGTCAAATTTGACCATTAAACTAAGTTAAAATATCGAACTCTTGGTACGGTTTCGGAAATTTTGCGAAAAAACAAATAGTACAGAAAACATTTCTTGTGAATAAACCGAAAACTAAGAGTTGTCGAATAAAATAGTTTGCATCAGTTTTTAAATATCTATGCACTGATATTAAATTTAACAAAATAACGCTTTTACTTAAGTAAAAGTCAATTTTTCACAGGCGGCTTGAATTTTTAATATTAGGTGGATAGGATTCACTCGACAAAGCACTAATACTAAACGAAAAATCTGCAGCAATGGCGCTTTTCCAGTTTGCTTATATAATAAGTGGAAAAAAATAATAAGAATATTTTTTGCGAGTTAGCGATTATTTATTACCTTATTCAATTTTCAAAGTTACAAATAGCTCCTCATTTACATAAATATACCCCACTGGTTCATCTAAACGAAACGAAGTTGATTACAATTTTCGTGATAATATATTAGGAACCGACGAAAAACTTGTTACTTAAAAATGACAAGCTGATGTATTCTGAATTAAAAAGTCGTTTATCAATTTTGCCTAATGGAACCTGTTGCGTAGTTACTTCATGGATATAAAGAAAATTATAATATCTTCTTAGAGCATATTACATTAATTTGGCAAGGATATAAGTTATCTGACCTGGTTATAAGACGTGATAACGTTGCCTCATTGAACTTTTTTCATTCTCAACCATTTGGCTCTAATGGTTTCATCATGTCTGAAAATATTTAAACATTTCACTTCTTAGGAATATTCATTGTTTTCGAAGAAAAATATCAAAGCTCAAATTGCAGTTTTCTCTGTAAATTTATCTCTTCTTGGTCTACTTCTCCTTAAGTAGCCCATCATCATAGCGATTTGGACTTGTTGCCATCCAGCCGCTTTTGGATATGTTTTTATAAGCTAAACTCTATTATTTTCTAATCTAAATTTACTACGCTTGAATATGAAAATTTCTTTGTGCCCGACCAACTAAAAAATGTGTAACATTTTTCGTCGTAACTGAAATAAAATATGGTGATCCATATTTTCATGTTTTCATTTCTACCACTTCAAATAGAAGTGTTACAATCGTATCTGGAATTCAGAGCGCTCGGGGTAAAATTAATATTTGGCAGGCGAGAAACTAAAGTGCTAGGTGGAAATGTATGCAGAAACTTAAAAAAATGAAAAATATAGTTATAGAAACTCATATGAAACATCTTCTAGCGCTCCTTAATTAATTTGTCAATTATCAAAAATAACAAATCTAAGATACTTTAGAGACAAGATCTCACTACAGCCTTGATATGCAATTTTCCTCTCGATGCACGTTAGTTAAAATGTTTGCGGAAGAACTTTGTTACGCAGATTTAAATATTCCGGTTCTGTTTTGCCGCAAATTAAACGCGGAAGCCAGAAAGAATAGAATCACCTGAGCATCACCTGAGCATCCAATTTAAATAGAAGTAGTTGAATATAATTACACGCAAATAGTAAATCAGACAGCAAATTTTTGCTGCACTGATTAGTTATGTGATTTTTAAATAATGTTATTTATAATTCGAAAATATGTAAGTCCGCTATAAATAAACAGTGAATGGTCCAATGAGTAAAATTTGGATAAAGAAAACTGGAAGTTCAATTTCCTTTATTATTAATGTTTACAATTATTTACTTGAGTTATGGCAGCTAATGTTTGAAGGAGTTTTTCGGGCTTTCAAGGCGTCGTGGAAAATAATTTATTCGCGGCTTTTTACATGCATGGGTGGCTTGCACCCTCAGGTAATACGCCAAAGTGGAATTAATTCAGCACTTGTTCAGTACAAAAAAGTAGTACAGTATAGTTGAAAACTGAGTAAAATTATTTTGTGTGGGATTTTCCAATAAACTTTATAGCAAAATACTTCCTGAAACAGCCGAATCAATAAATCGCAGGCAACTGCAACTTTTCCTACGAACTATTAGAGCAGTGATAAGCTGATTTATTTCGTATTTAGATGATGTTCAAACTTTTCACGTATAAATAATAGCAATTTCCGCGAAATTAGAAACGAATGGACTGGTTGAACTGAAGAGGCTAATTAAATTGATTTCGAAGTATTCCAACTTTGTTTAATGGCTATTGTCTAAGCACTCATGTAACCTATTATCAGTTGAATTGAAAAGATGCTAGAATGTTAAACTTTGAAAAGGCAATAACGAAATCTCTTTATAATAGTTTTGCAACATTTTCACTAAAAACGGTAGGTACAACAGGCCTAAGCCACCCTTGTAGAGTTTATTCAGCAGGGGCGGTTTTAATTTATTTGCTTTAAAACAAACATATCTGGAACTGATTTTCGACTGAACTCAAAGTAAAAAGTTTTACTTTGAGAAGCCATTAAAACCTTTAGTAAGAAGTTGCCTTTAACAGAATAAGAGAATGCTTATAATAGGCAATAAAATAACAATGGTGGGTACAAAAAAGGCAATTGATCGTATCTATGCAATCTGGACCAAAATTATTTGGCTACTGGATGTAACTAGGACATTGCCCAGAGGTACAGATTAAATTCGGATTCGAATGTTCAGATTATTGCTTCAAGCAGGGGAATGGAAATAATAAGGTCACATTTAAATTACATATTTATTTAGTTTTATATCTATATGGTAATAAACTTTAAAATGAATGTAGTAAATTGTCGAAAAACCTAATATTTAATGTACGGCTGCGTTGCTTGTTTTGCCACTAAGTAAAAAATATTAAAATGCATCTGCAACAAAGTTTACTCGCCCGATATGAATCCTGCTATAGACGTGAATTAATTTGGTTAAAACATTATAAAGTAAACAACAATAAATGCAGCTGAAAACATGATCAGAATCAGTTACTGTGGGACAAATTACTGCCCATTTCTCTAACGGAATATTTAGTGATTAGCAATCATGCTGATGAGAATCAACCGGTTCCTGCCGGAAATACAAATGGAAAGGCCTTTAGGCACAGTTCAGTTTGTGATATTTGCAGGTTTAACTAATTTTTCAATAAAAAATTACAGATCCTGATGTTGCAGGTAGAAATGTAAGAATAATTATCAAATAAAATGAATGGCTTTTGAAAAAATACAGCTGAAGAACAGAACGATGAAAAACGACGGCTTAAATTTTAACAAATCAACTATGAAATCAGGCGCAAGTACGCAAGGTAAAACCCCCAAAATCAAGAAATAAAACTCAGTAACTACAGTATATCCTTTAAAAACGTACCAAGTGTTGCAAAACCACGTTCAAGTGAAACCACGTTAGTTTGATTGGTTACAAATTAATCTAGAATAATGAAAGTTTATATTTAAATATTTTTTCAATCCATTCTGCTGTGCAAAATAGTTATTGTTCCCTTCACACATAGAATTGTTGATGAGTGATGATTATAAATCGTTTAGAAAAAAACGGAAATTAGAAAATGTGGACATTTCTGAATATTCTGAATCGTATAAAGTGAAAGTAATATTCCTGAAGCACCAGTAGCAAAGTATCCTTATCGCAAATTTATTTCTGCAATTCGAAAGAAACCACCTTAAGGCCAATTTTCAACTAGGCAGATATGAGAACAATACGAATAATAAAGGAGTAGTCGATAGCGAAGCTACATTATTTTACCATTTGCCTCAAATTGCGATGTTAAATTTTGCATACGGAACTGTTATACGTTACGCTTGATCATTTGCAGACATACTAGAGTGTTCGTTTGAAAGTCGGATGATATTGCGGCAGATCTATGGCCACAATATTACGTCATAATACAGAGTGACACTTTGTAAATCGCAAATTTCTTGTATCTTTCTTACTGAATTTACGAAAACGCATAGATCGGTGCTTGCGAAGGGTGAACCCTTCGAGCATCACTCATTTCGAGCTCATTAAGTATCATTCATTTTAAATTTCCCCGCCAAACAAAGAAAAAAATAAAACTTTTTAGTTTTTAAATAGCGTTTGGGTAAATTCTAGATTGCTCAACTTTGCCCCAATTCAACCAATCTCGTATCTTATATGATTATCAAGGTGAGCCCATGGTTGAGCTCCATAAACGGACACCTGGTACATAAGTATATAATAATAATAAGATTATTCAATTAACTCGTTTTATTAAAAGTGTTCTGGAATCCTTTAATTTCTGACCGCCTCAGTTTTGACGCTCATTCGAACCGAATAAAGCTTGAAATCCTTTCAACATGTTTTTGAAACATTGGGTTATCATGATTGCACTAATAGCTTTAATTGTTGCAAACGATTTCCTTATGTGTTAAAAGACCGTCTGACAACAATTTCATTTTACACTCTAATCGGAAACCGACAAACACACTAATCGGATTGCGACGACTAAGCAATTAATCTACTCTGATGAATCCAATTATGACTATGATTCATTGAATCTTGCGACAATACGTTTTCTTGGCTTTAGGGAGCTAGTCTCGGTTACACTTGGGAACATATTTTGGAAACTACATCTATATGGAGTTTTCCGATGAGAAAACATTTTATAATACAATCGCGCTGCTCCTCTGTAATTTTGTTTAGCGTATCCACAAAAAAGTATAATCAAGGAAGAAACTGCAATTTCCTAAACTTCGTTAAACGGCAACAGAAATCCGTTGAATATAAAGGAAAACCAAAAGATTATTGACAGTTTACCATCCCGTAGGTCAATAGCAAAGCGATCGAGGGTGTATATTTTTAGGAAATAATGATCATTCTACTTTTAGTTCGACTATAAACCGAGAGTCGTCATATGTATTTATTGTGACTAAATACTCATATACAATGTTATATATATATATGATTGAACTTTTAACTATCGACACAGCATTACTTTTTCAAATGAATCTTCAAATAAGGATTTTAAATGTTCAAGTGGTTCGGTTTTGCATAATTCGGATTGTAAAGAGGACATATTTAAAAATAGCACGCAACTGCTGGTATATGTTATTATTATTAGTATTATTTCTATCATTAATTAATAAGTTGCCGATTTCAGTTGTTCTAGGTCAATTGGCTGGCACGTAAACAATAACATCGTTAAAAAATAACTCATGGTTTCCTTTTTAATTTATCAGAAAATGCACGTTTACAAAAAGACTCTGCAAGCGCTAATATATCCTATCAGCTGTACGACTCCCCACAATTTCGTTCCATGGACTGCAACTTCACCAACTTACTGTTACGAGTGCGAGGGACTTCTTTGGGGAATCGCTCGGCAAGGAGTGCGATGCACAGAATGTGGAGTCAAGTGCCACGAGAAATGTAAAGATTTGCTCAACGCGGATTGTTTGCAAAGTGAGTACTCCACCAATAATATTACAGTGCATAGGGTGTCGTTTGAGGCGCTATTTCAAAAAGTTTTTGGATTTTAGTCTCCAAAGTTAAGAAATTGTCTACTTTTTTAATCAAGTTGCTATTGTTTTCTTACTTGCAACTTCTGTTAACATTTTCTAAATTCTTTAGGTTTATTATAGTTGCAAAAAGTACACAAGCATTATTGAATTTGTCCGTAACAGTAAAAGTATGATGTATTTTAATGCAAAACGAGCAAGTTGCCGTATGAATTACCGTATGAAACACGACATGTTTCGCCATAAAAGTATTTTAATAGGTTAGTTATTGATTATGCGTCTTTCTGGGAAACATGCCTCGCATATTTCCTTTGTTAACGTACCATTTAATGCATTTGCTACCTTGAACGAAGAATACATGGCGACCACAATGCAATATAGGTAAAACTGATTTATTATGGCAGCCGGTATATTTAACAGGAGCTTCAAAAATAATCGGATATGAATGATTCTGAATAATGTCCCATTTGCTTATTCACTAATATTCGCTTAGATGTACACATCACAATAACGAAGCTTAAGGGTAAATGGTATAGTATTAAGGCATACTTATTTCATCAGCTGCTACTATTATAATGTCGAAAACATTATTTTAGTTGCCCAGATTGGAAGTACGGAATTAGTGCACCCGTTGGAAAATTAGGCAGCAAATAGCAGAAAATATTTGCGAAATCCCGAACC